TACTTAAATTTGGGTAAGCGCGGCGCAGATATGTTTGCCAAACTTCTGGGTTCACTGCGGTGACAGCCGCTCCTGAATCCGAGAAACTACAAAACTTATGACCATTTTATACCAATCATCATCGAAGAACTACCAGCTTTAAAAGGAAAGCGAACATTTTTATTATTATTATCTAGTTCTTTTCGGGCCTGAAGGCGTGATGTCTGTTGATCGACTGTACTCAAAGTTGAATTACTTTGACATCCAGATTCTTTCTTAAACACTTTTCTAGAATCAATACTCACGTCAATCAAAAGTGGGACATCAACAGATTCATGACCCTCATTCATATGACTAAAGTTCGAACATCGCAGCTGTCTGACATATTGATAAGTCAGCGTTGATCTTTACTAACGATAATTCATTTGGCAACAACTCACTCAAAATTCTGGGGTTTCTCTTCTCTTGGGGCCCCAAAAAATAGACAGAAGATTTATTCTCAACAGACGAGACGGAAAAAACTGGAGAACGTAAACTTAAAGAAGACCTTTCTCCTTAACTTCATCAATTTAATAACTATAGCAAAAGAAATAAATGATCATAACCAAACTGTGCTTTGTTCTCTATTAATTTAGTGGTATATTATCTTAGCGATGCAGTGATGTAAGCCAAAAAAAAGTAACACAAATAAACAGACATCAATGAGTCGAGTTGCCCATCTCCGAAAATATTTTGTTTTGAAGAACTGCACCTCTTCGGTGTAAACAACTCATGGAAGGTTATATTCTAAACTAGAGCAGCGTAGAAACCTCAAGTTAAGATAAAAGAACAGAAATAAACTAAAACAAACAAACAAAGAATAAAACTAAATCATATTATGTGACAGATGCATGCTCCGGAAACGTAAACAGGGTTGATTTCTAATATTGAGGTCATTGTGGTCGCTTTTTTTCACAAACATTAAACCTGCTGCCACGATTCAAGAATCGAAGTGGTGCTTTTCCCTGAGGGTCCGAGGTGGAAATAAAAATAGCACCTCTTGTCTCCGCCATGTAACAAAGGCTGATAGAGTGATCGATAAAAGGCAGAAGCTGTGGCGCTCAAGTGAGGCCAGATTCTGTATTCGAATCATTCAATTGCACGGTAATTTGATCAGGGCAAAGAGCACCCAGGTATAATCATATGCAGATCCTAAAAATTATTAGCATCCGGTTTAACTTGAAATCAGGGAAAGTCCCGCTACAAAGGGTTCAAAGGCCACAGGGAAATATCATGTTTGCTCACGCATATACACTCTCAAACGAGTTCTAGGTTTTAGTTGAATTTTATTTTGTAACATTTTGAACAATTTTTAATGATACTAATATCCATTTAATTCATGACATCAAAGCTGTCTTAGATTAGATTCAAACATACAGAAGACATCACTCTAAGCCCAGACGAGGTAAAACCTCTCAAAAGGAGATTAAACTGATAAGAGCGTGGAATATTATCTCAGAAAGAAAGTGATCAATTTTATAATCGTTAGAATTGGTAAGGGCTATCTACGTCTTTATTTCACTTAAAAATACATGTAAGATGCCATAAGAGAGCCTACATGAGCAAAACAGGCGGTAACAGGCAGAGGGTGATAACGCTAAACAACTGATCTGAGTCAACCCTGGTGCATTTTTAAATATTATTTCATCAAGATAAAGAGGTCGAAGAAACGTTGTTGCAACCGTGGGATCCAAGACCGTCATTCAAGCGATATATCGCTTCAGTGTTTTACTGTTTGATGAGAAATGCAAAGCGAGCTCATACGAAGTTTCTAACATTTAATTTGTTGGATATCGACAAGAGACAGAGGATAGAAATAAGAGGTAGGGAGGCTGGGAGGGGAAGCAATGGTTATGATGGAAATCTGGGATGATCTGTTGATGGGAGTTAGGCCGGACAACATAAGTAAAGACCCTCTCATGCTCTATATATCTCATTCATTTTTTTTTGTTTATTTTCAAAGTGAACTGAGGTTAAAAGTACCCATTTTCATACCAACTAGCCTGTCTCTGGCTCATAAGTAAATACCTATTATAATTCGCTCAGTTGAGAATTTCACGTCCTCGTACTTATTTGGTCAGTAATTAACTGCGATATAGATATATGTACTATGCAACATGTAACTGCACGGACTTATAAGATCGGTTGTGTAGACTGACTTGTCTGTTTCACGCTCTTATTTGATAGTTCTAAACATAACATCCTGTCAATTGTCAATTGCGCGCACTTATTCAGTCCATCCTACCACTTGGTACTAAACATACGTTTGTTATTGCGTAATTGATATTTAAATTGGTAAAACAGACTTTTTTGGAGCGAGATCACCTAGAACATATGTATATATAAACAGTATCCTTACAACGTAAGTTTACTATTTTATCAAAAGTAACAATCTATTGTTGGTTAGTTTTGGTTTAACTGCTGCGTTTTCAGTAAGCTTAGTAATTAACTATAAATTTCCTTTAACTTGAACGGAAACACCGAGTCAAATATAGTTTTATTGCCACTGCTATTATCACTAACACTATAATTACTATGATTTGCGTTACTATTACAGGCAACAAGACATCAGAGACAGCAGTGTTTGAGGGTTTTCTGATGTCAGTAAACAGTCGTGTGTTGCACACCACACTTGCATACTCAAAGTGATAACAATGGTGATAGGTACCATAAGGACAGTCAAGCACATCTTTCTCGCTTCCCTCGCAGTAAACATGATCTCTATGTAAAGGACCGGAGCTTCGCCCGTATTGCTCGCCACGCTGCGCGTGTTTTGCACCTTTTACGAAGCCTAACTGATGGCAGACGACATTTGCATCCAAGATGTCCCACGTTTGGTCACATATAATTCCCCATTGGCCCCTTACTAAAACTTCAACACGGCCATAGTTGTGTGAACCTCCCGCCAACCGAAAAGTATTGGAACCATGGGTGCACCGCACGCTGGCGTCTCGTTTATAAATGCAGTCGTGTTTTCCCCATCCGTCATGAGTGCATTCGTGGAGTTATTTTTCATCATTGGAGCAAGGCCGATGCCGACGTGTTTTGCAGACAGCTCGGCTTCAAAGAAGAAGCCGCACAACCTTATAGGGACGCTACTCATGACGAAGGAAGCGGACCTATTTGGCTTGACCACTTGGTTTGTTCAGGAAATTTTCCACCAATGTTTCTGGATCTTCATATTTATTTCTCTTCCTTTTACTACACAGAAATTTTTGAACTTGGGAATAATTCCTGTAGGGGGTATCGTTTATGGTGATGTATTCCGCTCTGTTTGTTCTCCTATGGCCATTTCACTCGAAATGTGCGTTTTTCGACAAATCTGATGGCATCTTCAGTGATAGAAAACCGTCTTGTAAAGGCCATCGTTTGACAGTGAGGTCTTAAGCAGGTCTTTGTTGGACTCAAAGGTGTGCAATAATTGCTATAATCGCTACATATATTACTGTGGCGTTCGGTGCTGTGAAATCAAAGAAAGTTCGGTTCAGAAATAAGGCTTTCGCTGATATGTCAACACGTCATATATCCCACATACCTTGATCATTGTGTAAAGAAAAGTTAATAAAACATAAGTAGCTGGAAGAAAATCAAGGATAAGAGTGTCTCGAATATTTACTTCGAGAGCTTCATCAATGAGATCTGTTTGAGATTCATACTTCGACGACAAAGGAAACAAAAAGTGAAACTCTGGTTAGCTTAAAAAAAGCCTGTGAGTCTAAACGCTAGATCGCAGGAAGGCAAAAGAGGAAAACATTGTAATGCAGGCGTATTAAACAAATGTCTAAGACCTACCTCCACAGGTTATATCGGTTCCTGCTAAGCCTGGATCACATCTTCATCCATAGGTACCAGGAATATTCTTGCAGGTGGCATTGACATGGCAAGTTGACGCAATCTCTTTGAAAAAAAAAGACTTTGCAAACCATTCCTACAGCATATTCATATCTCAAGGACGTAGTCGACTTTGTCCGCTGATGTTGCTTTCTGTTGTATTCAAGTCATACATATCAAATACACTCAATCTGACTCGATTCGTCTACGGTAATTGACAAATCGACTCACCGGAAATCGAATCATGGGTCTAAGAGGTCGAATCGTTCGATTTAAGTGAAATCGAGTCAATTCGATAACAGTTTAGCCCTCTCTCGTAGTAAGCTGTAGAACATTTGTAAGTGACTTCCGGTATGACATTTCTATCTCAAGAGGAACTTTTTTATTCAGATGACCGTAATAAGCTCGATTCGAAGCTTGACTTAAACGAATCGTATCAATTTGGGTATATTGGACAACCTTCTTCCAAGTGACGAGAGATTAGTTTTCTTTCTGACATCAAATGTTGAAATAACCTACCTAGGTGTGGCCAATAACATTTACGCAATGAGAATAGGGTGGACAGTGATAATTTTGGTCAGCTCATTCATCATAATCTGCAAAAGAAAACAAACACAAAATGGTGATTCCGTTTCTTTTTAAGGTGATGGCAGGCGAAATAAAAATTATGGCAAAACTTAATTTTTCAATGAAGCATAACAGTTACTGCACAATTCCCTCGATGTCCCATGAGATAAAAACTAGCTATACTGTACTTCATGTTCTTTAAGGCACTAACCTCTCTTGCAGGTAAATCGGTGACAATCAGTACAGTTTACGTCATTCCATCCGTGATGATGATTTTTGAGGAAGCCAAGAGTATGAACACAATCTTCATTGCCATAGTTGTTTGGTTGGCCCTCTGCCCAACGCCTAAATTTGGATTTGCTCTTATCGCTCCACACAAAATTCCCTTCAGAGCTGGTATCATTGAGCCCCAACCAGGAGTGCTCTCCACCATGCAGACTTTGAACAAAAACGTTTTCTTCTTGGTTACGTATGCTGGGAAGGTCAGCTTGCTTACGGCGACAAGCTCTATCGCTGTTGTCCCAGTTATCGCATGCAGCCACTTCACTGTAGCAATAGTTATCGAAATAGTGCCAGTCGTCTTTTCAAATGCTGTCTGTAAGATAAACACGAGTTACGGTTTTTTTTTCTTCTTGAATTAATTTTAGTCATACTCTTACAACTATTTAGTTCTTTGGTCGTGGAAAGAACGATGAAGGGCTTATTTTCTTGGGGTTTTTTTCCCTATAAAAGGTGAAGAATGATTCTTCAGCTGTAAGTCTAGTGTTATCTTTCCTATTCTTTATGTTCTCCTTTATTTGCAGGTATACTTATGTAATTTTTTTCCTTCTGAATGTGATGCGTTCCATGTATAATGAGAAACGCTCGAGATGTTCAAATATATTGCTAATTGAAGACCTTGCATGCGCTGCAAGTTGTTAAGCTGATAGGATCTGAGATTAGGTTATTCATACCTCCCAGCACCGCATATGAAATGTTCATTGGGTCAAAGCGTTCCACATACAGTTCTTTAACACAAATGCGGAAATGCCTTTTCTGTGATAGACTGAAACAAAGATATATTTTTTTATGATAGAATTAAGAGCGTGACCACGAGAGTACCAGGCAGTCGTACTACATGCCATCACACCGATTTCAATGAAACTTTGTCAGTTTAAAGGGTCTACCCCAAAGCTCAAAAAGACAAACTGGTTTCTGTTTTGGTTTTTTTCCGGGGGGAGATAGACCACCCCCGGTTTTTCTCGGTTTTCACCAAGGATATCAATTCAGAATAGGTAAATGTATGAAGCTCTCACTGCGATGGTACTTAACCAATTACTATGAGGGTTGGCACACGTATTTTTACATCCTTAGTTAATATCCGCTGCAAGTATTGGTCAATTTGAATGACGGCTTGTTAATCAACAGAGGCAAATAAACGACTGTGTTTTTAGACTTTTCGATTCATCCAAATATTTGACAACTTTGAGGTCAAATATCTCCCTTTACCAGAAAGCTACAACAATAATCTTGATTCCTCTTTATAACCCATCATTTCATCTCTGAAAATCATCAAAAAATCTTTGGGATGTCTTTTGGGATGTTTTAAAATCTGCAACTGTGACAAGTTTCTCTCAACTACACCTGTCACGCAATTCTAGCTCCAGGCGGTCACTTGACCAAAATAAACCAACATTGTTTTAGCTCTTTATACAAGATGATTGATGAAGAAAGATAAAAAATGTGTAAAACTATCGAGATTTTTTGTAGGAATGGAAAATTTCCCGTTTAGAGAGATGCATGTAAGCAAAAAATCTATGGGAAAACCGAAGCGTTTCTCTCTTCTGTCGTTTATTACTTCGAAGATTTGCTAAAATCAGGAAATAGGGCTCTTGTACAGAACAAAACATTCATTAGTCTATAATTTGATTGTCTATTATCATTATCGCACAGTTCACAATAAGGAAACTGTAACAGGAGAGGAGATTTTAAAGTCGCATGTTGCATACTTGTTTAAGTAAAAGCTTCTGTGTGTAACAACTTCGGCTCTTCCAAACCGTGGATGACAGGAAACTCTGCCCCCCCTAATTTGATAGGAATTCCACGCAGAAATAGTATTCGTAGCCTGTCTGCGTGACCTTTCATGAGAAGTAAAAATTGCCGATCTCTTTTTTTTCAAGAAGACACTTCTGAAAAGTTCTTAATCCTTCTGTTATCTTATTTGCCAGTTTTTTGACTGCAAATATCATCTGTATTTGCTATTATTTCTGCTGATTGTCATGGCCTTTCCTGCGTGCACGTGCGAGCCAGTTCATATACAGCACTCTTTCGAGTTTGTTTGCGTGGTGTCGGGCTTAGGTGTGTAGGTCTGGCTCAAAAGATATCTGCACGCTGCAGCACGGGTTCCAGTGTTTTCTCTTTTTTCTTTATTTGTATTTTTATTCTCTTCCTTGCATTATCACACATGTATCTTTTTTTTATTCCCTCAGCGCGTTCTCTTAGATTTGAAAGTAGGCTATAAAAAGTCAACATTGAGCAGAACTGAAACCTTTTCTATCACTATTTGTTTCAAAGAACTCCTGTTTTTCATAACTCTATTTCTCAAGAGAACGTGTTTTTATTTGCTATTTATTTCCATTAGAACATGAAACTAGGTCCTGATAAGTTTTTTGTTTCGTGACTCCCACAAACTGTGTTTGCGACAACATCAATTGAGAAATCAAAGGCAATTACGCCCGTGAAATTCGCTTTTAGCCTTCTACCCACAAAAGGCAAATCCATGTAATGAAGCGTTTTAAAACCTCTGTAAACTAGAGACATTACGTGATGTTGAAGAGTCAAAATGTCACGCATGTATAACACCGTAGGCGAATTCTATCCACTGGCTGCAATGGTAAAGAGACAACTGCAACTTATTTACTATTTGTATACAGGCAAGCTTAATTTATCCTACTTGTAAAACTCTTTGATGAAGTCTACTATTGTTAGACGAAACGCGTGGGAGATAAATACAAGTTTTTACTTTCTCAGTTCGCGCAGTGATGCTCACTAGTTTGTTCCGTCAAAAATGCTTTTAATGGCGAAAACTTGAGCACTTGGTAAAACACCTTGACTTGGCAGCTCTGATGATTACAGTTTGCTGAGTTAAGTGAGATGTTAGTCTCCATGCAGGAATCTTCCACATGACCTGTAAAGTCGTATGCTATGAGATAACTTTAGAAAAATTTATTTCTTTGGAGACAAAAATTAATGGTTTCCTGTTAACATGAATGTTTGGGAGAAGTTATGGTGGTAATTGACCCTTTTTTTTCTAGGATGCATAGTTTCTGATGATTGCGATGTCTATCATTTAGCTTTTAAAACTTTCAACTTTGTATTAATTGAAACTTTTTACCATATCTATTTCTCTTTACCTTAAGCCCTAAAAAAGTTGAAACAGGTGAGTCAATAACCTGACTTCCTCTGTTTCGGATTGTGTGATCATATAATTTTGCTGTGTAAGCTGCCACATTGTAATATGTAATATTATTATTTAACTTGCATTAAACACTCTTGCTCAAGTTTTCTTTAATGCATGGCGTTCCTTACTACCACTCATACCCAACTAAACATTGATATAAGGAATTACAAGATATGTGAGTTTTAAACGGTGGAAATCTGGAAAAACATGGATCCTCCTTTAATAAAGTCTGAAATTAATGGAGGGCCCTCCTATTTTAATTCATGTTTTAACCATGACCTGCCTCCACCCCTGTGATGTTTAGAGTACACAGATGAAGAAAACATTTTTTTGTATTTTCGAAGCATGAAAGTTAAAGTAATTGGCGTCCACTTAATGCGCAAAGCAAGAATATAAATACCTTAGCTTTATGATTTTAAAAATTAAAATAAGAGAATTGTGCTGACCATATCTTACTTTTTATCCTCCTCTGGATATTTATTGAAATAACGTAGTCACTATCAGTCTCATTCACTCTCACTTTCCACTGAGCTTGTGGAAAGATGATAACCTTAGTATTTTTTTAAATGAAGAAAGGAAAGCCTTCCCCTTTTACCACAGATAGTTCTTTTGGGCATCATCAGTACAAACCTGGTCTAATTTGTACAAGAAGGTGATTTTTCCAGGTAGTCTAACCTTAAAAATTAGTTGTAAACATTTCTTGAACCTGTCGTTGTATGTTTTGAATGTTTGACTCAATTTTACCTTACTAACCTACACTGCATAAATAGAACCTAGTATCAGTTAATATTCATGTAACTAAAACATTTACATGAAATTTTGCAGATGTATGGCACATTTTTTCCTCTGATCCACCAAACATTTTAATATGTGAAAGGACTGGTATTGGCTATAAACGTTTAGTCAAATTAAAGTTTTTTAGCCAAGATGATTTATGGATAAAATATTTTCGTTCTTAAAACCAGAATAAGAATGATCCACCAGTGAATGAGATAACATTTTCACAAATAGTTTGTTCGAAAAGGATTCCACTAAAATTAGTTCCTTTTTTCAAACATGCCAACAGGAGCGATTAGCAGATTAAAACCATCTAAAACCCTCCTTTTCAACCTAATTTGGACATGGCATTTCAAACATGGCACAAACACGTCACAAGTTTTCAATTCCCCTGAATAATTATTTTGTAATAGTGTTTATAAGTTTTTGAAATGTAAGAGAAAACTTGTTGATATTGAAAACGTTTTGTTTGCATTTCATGAATATGTTGCAAAAATGAAACTTTCAAACATGAGAAAAACCATCTAAAACTTTTCAACCTATTTAATGTAGACAATAACACATCACCTCAACTTTTAAATTAAAGAGAAAACTTGATTGATGTTTGGAACCGTAAAAATGAAATCCGGATGTTATCTCAAGTTTTCTTAAAGACACCCACATTATATGCAGTTATGGTAGAGGTTACAGAATAAAATAACAGAAACAATCTCAAAAATACGTCGTGTATTTCCAGCCAAAGGACAATTATGAAATTAGAATAGGGAAAAAGTTAAAAAAAGATTACAGGTTCAAACACGAGTTGAGAGTTACTTTTCTTTTTAATTTTCTAGGCTAAACAGAGGAGGTTAAAACGTTAGGGAAAAACGGTGGGGAAAGCATTCATACCTGGCGACTTCAAGAGATTATATAAGAGAAGCCCATGCGATTCTAGCGTATTGTTTTACTGACTGACTGTGCTCACGTGTATACACTTCAATCGACCAGTGATGTCTTGACACAAAGTAGTTTACCGTTCTTTCTTTCAATTTTGGCTCATTTTCCCAAACCGAAATTGTAAGTCACGCGCAAATGAATATAATGTCAACTGATACTGACATCATACACTTCATCTGAAGGAGGAAACATTCTCTATCTTCAAAAATTTTCTCAAACCATTACGAAAAACAACGAAGGTCCCAAGCTGTTTAAAGATACCGCTGACTAGCATGCGTGTTGATTGCTTTGTATCCTTCTTAACTGAAGGCTACAAGGTCACTTTTCCGGAATATCGTCCAAATGCCTCAGGTAACGCATTGAAACAGATGTTTCGAATGCCTCTTTGTGCCTTTTTTCGCTGGAAAAACTGTCCTAAATGAAGCTTCGTGAGTCATCCGCCGTAAACGCTTCGATTTTGATCATGTGACCTTTACGTCACACGTGTGTACATTATGTAAAGTAGTGAAGTGAAGTGAAAGCGGTTCTATTTCAGGGTCTGATTATTCGGATTTTGAGGCCTCGATGGAAGGTGAACATAATGAAAGGGTTTATGAACCTATTGGTTAAATCAGGCCCTCGCGATTTGAACCGCCAGAGCGAACCTAAAATAGGATGGAAGAGCCAGAAAAGGATCACGAGCCCGTGCGTCGTGGCCGCCTCAATCAAGAAAGCGAGAATAGTGAGTGCATTTACGCTTTTAAATAAGGTATCTTAAAATCAGTCGCTTATTAAATGTAGGAGAGATCAAGGAAAGAAAACAAAATGTGCAGACTTTTGAATACCATGGGAGCGAAGTGTTTTTAAGCTTCACTCGCGCACCTTCTGAAGTTAAGATTTCACTGACTGAAAATATAAACATACACGCTTGTGGAGTAGAATTAGACAGATTATACTCGTTTCCACGCGATTGAATCGGTTTTAAGTCTTCCTGTATTGAATTCGACGAACGGTTTAAAGATTTCTCGGCTTTTACTTTAAAACACGATGCGGCAAAAAATAGCATTCATACAAGTAGCATTTAATATCTCAATATTTACTTATTGTTTACTTGTGGTCTTTGCACCTTGTTTATAGCCTAAAATTTTGGTTATCTCTCACGTTTGTGACAATTACAGAGCTGATAACTGTTCCTTTTGGTGAAACGAGTCATACAAGTTGTGCTCTCTATTTCTTCTATTCAACGTCGTGAAAAAAACTGCTACTTTACCGATTTTTTTATTACAAGGTGTCAGTGTGAAAACTTCCAAACAATGTGGAGGGAGAAAGCAAACATCTTTTGCAGGGAGGTAGATGTGGTCAAAATAAAAATTTGGAGGATGTTACGGTGGAACAGTTGCGGGCAGAAGCCAAATGTATTGTTTAGCATCCAGAGTTTGAGGAAACTGGTGAAGGCTGACTCCTTCGGCATTTTTTTTTTTTTGGATTGAAAACATCTCTACACAGCGCTTCCCTGGTTTTCGTTTTCTTTGTTTTACATCCTATTGTTTTCCGTCCATATTGTAAATGTCAACGCGGCTAAGAGTGGTACAGTTTTGGTTAACTTGAGCGTGAACGTATATATAAAAAAGTAAATATATATATATATATATATATGACCGCGTAAGCGTGAAATTCTGAGTCACAGAAAAGTTATGTCTTACTGATTTGTCCAACTTCTAGATATACCACGCATTATACCGCAAGGAAAGACTATAATCAAGATTTATTTATTTATATACATACATATATATATATATATATGTTTTTTTTTAAGGGTCGTAATTTGAGAAACATTACGTGCTTGTTATTTCCATAGCACGAGTTTGTCGCTGATTGGTTCCTTCTTTTTACCAAAGCACTGCGTTTTAAACGGTGGAAGCTAGGTAGTCCCATGACATTTGCTTTAATGGTTTCCTCTCTCAGGTTGTCGGTTTGTTTTATTTGCGATAAACGAGCGTGAGTAATTTATTGTTCACTCAGCTGACAGTGGTACATTTTTGAAACGAGTAACCTTTCGTACAGGATTTATTTCATCATGTTTCCGATCGCAAATGAAAATGGCCTATATCAGAATGGAACAAATCTTATTTTTTTTTCCGCTCGTAAATTTCGGCTGAGACTGAACAGCGAGGGCGAAGTTGTTACTTTAAGGCCTTGATATGACGCTTTTTACTGCCTTACACACGTGTGACGTATCACATCACGTTACCTGATCGGAACGTTTTCAAAATGGGCGTCGATTAAGCGTCAAGAAAAATTGAAATTTGGTTTTGCATAATATATCGTTTATTTGCTCAGTCAGGATTCTTCAACCGAAGAGGAATGTATTGGGACATAAAAAAGGGGAAAATTTGGCGTCAGTTACCCATTAAAACTAGTTTATCAGAGTAAGAATATGTTACCAGGCACAAGTATGGCTTTTTCACGATGATAGTTTCCAGGTTTAAAAAAAGTCACTTCCTACTTACATCCTCAGTTCCTTTGCCCTGACAGCTCAACCTCATCAAAACATTAGTAACAGGAGCAATTAGCAGATTAACGATACAGACAAGAGAGCCTATTCCCACATACACCCTCCTCAGTCCTGTTAGCTTATTCTGGATATGGCGTTTCAAGAATGACTTATATGCCACAAATTTTCCATTTCCATGACTAATTATTTTGCAATGGTGTTTACAAGTTTGGAAAATGGTTAGATTGAAATATGATACAAAGACTTGCCAATTAATGGTTAACTTTAAAAATTTTCAACCTTTTTAATATAGCCAATAACGACATCAACTCAACTTTTAAAGTAAAGTGAAAACTTGATCGATATTTGGAATTGATTTCTGTGTTGTAAAAATGAAATCCAGGTATTATCTTGAGTCTTCTACAAATGGTCGAATCCTAGGTCTCTCTTCGTGATAGAGTCTTAATTACGATATTCTAGTTCTAGCTTATCTTCCTTTAAAATAAAACTTTCGCAGTGTCAGACAAATTTCGTATTTCAGTAGCTAGAGTTGCAAAATCATGGACAGTTGACTTCCATAAGATATAGATTTTTCTAAAAACAAAATAAGAGTTTGTAGGCAGCTGAGAGTGATCGACTAACGATTTTTTTTTTCAATTGGTTTCCAATTTTTATTCATTTCAAAGTGAACTGAATCCCCAAAACGTCACGAAGGGCACGTGTCAACGCTCGTTTTGTTCTCGTTTTTAGCTATTATCCATATGCTGATTGCAAGCTTTCCACACAGTTGTGCCCTCATTATCGAGGAGAGCTGCTGTGTTTTCAGTAATGTTTGTTATTAACTATGAATTTTTTTTTACCCGAACGGAAACGACGAATCACATATAGTTTTACCGCTACAGCTATTATAGCTAATATTACTATTAGTCCGACTTGAACCACTATTACAGGTAAGAGGACATCAATGACCTCAGTGTTAGAAGGTGTCTTAATATCAGTTAACGTTCAATTATGACAAACAACACTTGCATCTTCAGAGTGCCAACAATGATGAGATGGACAGTGTGGGCAGTCCAGCAAAGATTCTTCGTTCCCCTCGCAATAGACATAGCTTCTTTGGATGGGACCAGAGCCTTGTCCGTATGCTGCGCCTCGAGGTGCAGAGGTCGCACCTTTGAAACCGAGCTGACGGCAGACGACCTTTGCATCATTGATGTCCCAGGTGTGATCACAGATAGTGCCCCATTGGCCTCCAACTAAAACTTCAACTCGGCCATAATTGTGGGATCCACCCGCTAACCGAATGATGGAAGAACCATATGTACACTTCACGCTGGCGTCTCGTCCATGCGTGCAGTCATGCTTTCCCCATCCTCGATGCCTGCAATCGTGGAGATTTTTCTCACTCCCTGAGCAAGCCAAATCGTCAAGCCAAATTGGTCCGCTTCCTTGGCCATGATAAGCGCTTCTGTAAGCTTGCAAGGCTTGTTTGAAGCCAAGCTGTCTACATATCACGTGAGCATCGTTCAGGTCCCAAGCATCATCGCAGATGGTCCCCCATTTGCCATCGTAGAAAACCTCTACTCTTCCAGTTGATGGGCTGGTGCTGTTTATACGTACGCTGCCATCAGTAATTGCTGGCAAAAATAATCAATTTTTTTTTAGGTGAATATAGACTAAATAAACTTAAAATATTAACTGTCTCCTTTTCTGGCTGTCTTTTTATTATCATTACAATTATTGTATTATTTAATTTTTTACACCTTTTCCTCAAGGGACATCATTTGCAATAATATGCGAACTTTCCTTATGGTCATTTTTCGCGTAATTTATCTTTTTTGACAAATTTAATGGCATTGCGCCAGTCGATAAAGTCCGGGTATTAAATTTGGATGTAAAAGAGTATAATAGAATGGGTTGATAACGCTATACGTTCGATTGCACAAAAAAAGAAGTTCCTGAGTACACAAAACTTTGATTCATTACCGAGATCTGAATGAAATTCCTCTAAATAGTATCCATAAATTTTTGCTATTATAACAATCTTGTCTTTCTGGCAACAAAATATTCCCTGATGAAGCTAGGTTTGTGAGTCAAAGAAAATTTGCGATTGACTTTCTGATTAAACAAATAATTGTTGTGTGGAAACAACAACATAGTCTACATAATGAGGCGCTGAGGTCTTTCTGAAGGGTCTCCTTTAAAGTCAATCCCATGAAAATGCTTAGTTACTGCGAAGGAAATAGTATAATTGAGAGTAAAAAAAGAGTAAAAGAAATCATAACCTTTCCTTACCTCGATAACGAGCCCGAAATCCTGCAAATTCTTTCGAGATATCTGACGTAAACCTCACGTAAAGGTTGTTGGACGTGCTTGTCAAAGATTGCTTGGGCAAAGTGTTTCCAAATAAAGTACCAATCAAAGGAGAAGAACGTGATACACCATCGTACACATTGACGATATCGACCTTATCCTCAGTTTTTAAGCGAATAAAAACAAGTTCAATATGTCCATTTGAGGTTATATTCCAGGTACAGTCCATGTCACTTTTGTAGGTTTCCACATGACCAGGTACAGGGGCATCATTGGACTCGATATAGCCAGTTGAATCTGACTGCCATACAGTTAAATTGGTACATGAAGATATTACGGTGGCGTTCGGTGCTGTGGAGTTAATAAATGAAAACAAGTTTAGGATATAAGGCTTCGCCGCTTACATTTCAATATATTCAATACAAAAATTAAGTTTATCGGTATGAGAATAGTTCAGTCTTTCTATCAGTAAAGAGTAACTGTAAAAGTTTTACTGTTTATGCCGATGACACGCAACTAATCTGCTGAGAAACAGAGACCAAACTCGTCGATAACAAAAGTGTGAAAGTTAAGTTTGAAAAAAACAACAACAACAGCAAACAAACAATAAAAACAAAAGGTAGTAGAGGCGTTTAATTACTTTGCAGAGACTTACCACCACAGGTTTTACCGGTTCCTGCTAAACCTGGAGCACATCGACATCTATAGGTACCAGGAATATTCTCGCAGCGAGCTTTGACATGACATGTGTAGGTTCCCAAGCGGCATTCATCCATATCTGTTTCGTATTAAAAGAATAAGAAAACGGCCTTTCACTGAGATATACAGATATAGACATGAGTTTTCTGATTTATTCCAAAGATCAGTCACTTCGATTCTATCGCTATATGTCAAACACCGAAGTTAACTTTCGAGGGGGTAAGAAAGGTTAATGAAATGAACTTACTCTTTTAAAAATTTGAAATTCTAAGACAGCATATTTTATAATTTATTATCAGCTAATGTATCTATTTATTGTTAAAATTAACAAACCTTCGCACTCCTTGTTACATCCAAACGGTATGAAAGGTGAATGAAACAAACGTACTCTCTTTTTAAATATGAAATTCTAAGACAGCATATTTTATGAGTACTTATTAATTATTATATCTGTTTATTGTTAAAATTAACAAACCTTGACAGTCCTTGTTGGCATCCAAACGGAAACCCTTATTACACTTGCAGGTGTATGAGCCATCATTGTTAATGCAATGAGAATCTGCTGGACAGTGATAATTATAGTCGATACATTCATCATAATCTGAAAAAAAGATTTTTAAAAAGATTGTTAAAAAGCATATAGGTGGTTATTTGGTAGGTTATTTTGCTGATCACATCTGGTGAAACAAAGGAAAATTTTATGTACTCGAAATTGTTTTTACAGCTATTCAAAACGAAACAAAGCATCTAGCCTAACTGTCTCCCCGCTCTTTTTTTAACTACTACGATACACCATACCATCCAATCTTCATTTGAACGTTCATATAAAACCGCCAGATCTGCCATATGCACACTCATTTTACTAACCTTTCTTGCAGGTAAATCTGTGACAATCAGTGCAGTTCACGTCATTCCATTCGTAATGATGGTTTTTGAGGAAGCCAAGAGTATGAACACAGTCTTCATTGCCATAGTTGTTTGGTTGGCCCTTCGCCCAGTTCTTAAATTTAAATGTGCTCCCATCGCTCCACACGAACTTCCCTTCTGAGTTGATATCAGTGAGCCCTAGCCAAGAGTGCTCTCCGCCATGCAGACTCTGGACATAAACGTTTTCTTCCTGGCTGTGTATGCTTGGAAGGTTAGCTCCCTGCGTGGCGCATTTTCCCTGGCTGCTGCCCCACGAATCACATGCAGCCACTTGTCTATAGCAATACCCTCTGAAATAATTCCAGTCGTCGTCACAAATGCTGTCTGTGAAATAAACACAATGGGCTAGTTTTTTCGTTTATTCATTTACTTTTTTAACTTTGTAAAGTTTTATTGCTCGGAACACCCGAAACTTCAATCAGCACGGAGGAGCAACTCACGAGAAGTTCAAAGCAGGTCACAAATCTCACCTCCCATCACAGCATATGAGACGTTCAAAGGGTCAAACCGTTGCACGTACAGCTCTTTGACACAAATTCGAAATCCAGACGTTGTGATAGACTTGGAAGCAAAAAGGAAACAAACTGTTTGGTTAGCGAATTTATGTAATTATTCTGAAGATTCGTGACCCTAATCAAGATTAAGAATTATAAATAAAAAATGTTCCTAGTAAATGTAAGATTAACGGTGCAAAACCTTCGCAAACGTTTAGGCAAAGCATCATCTGGTTTTCTAAAAGAATATCAGATTATATCGGGACTAGGAAAGTAAACCATGCCGACGCGTTAATGTCTGCTCTCCTATTGTGGAAGATAATGATGATGAAAAAAGCCGCGGCTTAACGAGGTAGTTCAGAAGCAACTTACTAACAAACCGTTTTCCAGGAAATGTTGTTACCTCAATCCAGCTTACGATTCCATTGCATTCCGCAGCAGCATTTCCTCCACCAGTAGAATGCTTGGGAGTGACCAGCACCGTTGGTGGGTAGGTATAAGCCGATTGAGAGTAGGTCACATCCTTTATATGGACCAGTGTAAGTAAATATGATCAGTCACTAATTTAATCGAGAGATTAACCAACTATTCACCAATGGAATATTTTAATTACCAAGGTAATCACTGAGATAGCTTTAACTGGTGTAAATTTAATGAAAGCATAACAATTAGTCAAATGCGAGTTTGTGTGTCTTGTCTAGTCTAGAAAATCGTGGCTCTTTGCATATATCATGGCCCTCATGTGGATCATGTCTATACATCACAGGTGCATATCATAAAAGTGCTTCGTTGGATGTCGCAAAAACTGAACAGCTCCTAGTCCAGTGAAAAACCCTGAGGAGCTTGTAAAATGTCCAAACAACATCCTGCGAAAAGTCAAGAGTACTGGATAACTCATGATTGGCTCGAATTTTGTATCCAATTAGCTCATCAGAAAGGGGTAAATTTGTAAATAAATCACTTGTGAAAAAAGAAAAAGAAAAGTGAGAAGAAGAATTAAAAAAAATGAAACTGTGGATTACTATAGTTGAAACTTGATTCAACTTTTTTCTATCAGTGCTACACTCATCCAAAAACAAACTACATTGTTATTCTTTTGAAGAGACGCAACACCTACCTTACAGAAAGCGTAATTGTATTTTATTGATGGCAAGCCAGAGTTGGGAAAGCTGACAACGCTGCTCTCTTTGAACACTGGCCTTGGTGTTTTGCCAAATGCCAACCAATTCTAAGACAAATATATAATTAATAAGTTGCGAGAAAAGAGAAGTGTGTTCAGTAACTAAATCATGGTCAAACTAAAGTTTTTAAATAAGATGGTCTTAAACTAGTGTCCGACTTGCAGGCGAATGGCAGGTTGCGTTATTTCATAAATTGTTCTCTCTAAGTTTTGCATTGCCAAGTATAAACAAGAAATTCAAAATTCAAATTCATTCATTAATACAAATTTTTTTTAATCTAAATTTTTTTTAACTACCCATTGCAAAGCGCCATGATTGCATGGAAATGATACCCTTTCGTTATTATTATCTTTCCTTGTCATTACGTGTGATGTTAGTAAGAGTCATACTTATGGGCGGTAGGTGGATGAGGGTTTCAATTTCAGTAAATTTTGCAAAATTCATGAGGACTTGACAAAACTTACCACTGAAATATCATCATGAACTCCTGCAAAGTTTTGAAGCTCCCTGAGGCAGATCTTAAAAGAATTTGTAGAAACATCCTCAAGCCACACAGAGGTAGCATCGTGCATGAGACTTGATCTGTAATGGACAGCTGTTGCAAAGATCGACGGTGGCTCAGAATACTTTCCCTAAATTTATGGAAAAGGATACCTTTTTGAATTAGAGGGAAGACCAATAATGCACAATATAAACTCGTTCACTCGACTTCCTTGAGGCCAATTTCTGTCGTCGTAATATATGGTTTCTTGGATTAACGAAGTGAATTGAAACTACGAAAAGCTTATTCTTTAGAAAGTGCAGTAAACTAGTCTCGACGTTACGCACTTGAAATCTATAAAAATGTGTCCTCCACTGGCTTTTATTGAAAATATTGCTTCCAAGATGTGCTGAGTGCCTTTCAGATAATCCAGTAGCTTGAGGTAGAATTCTATGAGATAGTGAATCATCACAAGGAAAGACTGTTTGAAACCGGACATTTTTGTCCATAAGTAAGACATAAGGAGAGTCTTATGCGACTCCATATAATCTCATACAAAAATTACAGAGTAGCGCATACATTTGGAAAAGTGACTGTTCTGCAGCTAGTTCCAGTCCACCAAGTTAAGAACATCTCCTCTCCTGCTATTCCTCCAGGTGGCGCTCCCTGATAGGCCACCCAGTCTATTAAAGCGAAGCTGTCTGCGGGGTAGTCATTCCTTCCAGCTCGCGTAACGCAGGCTGTGAACTGAGTGGTGTTAATGCTCTCGACCCAAGGCGTGGTAGCTTCGTGTACCAACGTGTCATCAGAATAGTTGAAGTGGTTAACAGTGAGTTGTACGTATATTTTCATATGAGGATAGAATATGAACGGTTTAAACTTGATTACATCACACTGATCTTCGGCCCACGAAGGTGTATTTTGGAATTCGTGTCTTCCTTTCTGCATTGGGAAACCTAAAATGGAATTTTGATGGATCTGCTAAGTTTAAGAAGTGAAGCATGTAACAGCAGCATGTTTGTTTGCAGTTCTAAGTAACGGGCTTTTTTGTTTGTTCATCATGATAGAAAAATTAGGTCATCAAACAAACAAAATGTACAACAAAAGTACAAAACAAAACAACAACAGACTCGAAAACAACAACGGGGCAACCTTGCAAACGGAGATGGAATTTACTCTCTACGAATGGGGTAAATTTAAACTGTGATAACAAAAAATTAACCCTATGACGTTCTTATAGTCTTGCCCTTAGTGCCATTTTAGCACAAAATACACACAGCAAATTCTGTTTGGTTTTTAGGTCGTTATGAAAGAAACTTCGAATTCAAACAGAAATTAGTTGTTTAGTGTGAAGTGGTGGAAATTTCACAAGGGAAGAAAACTGATATTTACACAAAAAGCATGTAAAGAAATATGTCGGGAAGAACATGGTATATTTCGGATGACTTCAACTAACAGACAAACAGGTAATCTTAGTAATGCTCATTACCTCTGCAGCTCCCAGGATGATAGTTCGTGTAATTTCCACGTGTTTCACAAATTTTTTTCTTGAGGAAACACATGTTCTTGAAAGTTCGACCATTTGAAGCACAGACCTGTTCCTCGTATGATGGGCAATCATCTTTGCAGATGCAAGCATACTTCCAAGGAGTATAAGCGTAACAAAAGCTTTCGTATGTGCAGTTAATATCTCTACATGGATCAAGATCTGAAAATAGAGAACAATGAAAAATTAACTCATATATTTTCAAGCATAAAGGGATATAAATAGAAAGCAAGAAAAATTACAGGGTAACAATATGAGGCAGTCAAGAATTGTGGATAAAAGGGTGTGTGGAATGCAGAGTTTGACTACACGATCGAAAAAAGGGAAGAACAATTGCAAGAGCAGATAAATAGAAAGGTAAGGTAAAACAAAACTAACAATACTTATGATTGACAAAATGATTTCAGGTACAAAAAAATTGAAAATAATATAAAATCAGTGGTATTTCATGCAACAGAAATGCTTGTCCTCTCCGATAACGAGGCACATGATAATACTAAGATCCTGCATTCAGATGAATTTTTTGTCAGACATAAACTGACAACTGAGAACTACAGAGTAGGCCCTTGCATCTCACTATTTGCATCTTAAAAAAAATGAATAAATGAATATCGTTCGGAAAATAATTGGTTGCTCATTAAGAAACCGTTTTTCTTTATTACCTCCAATAACGAAGTAGTCTATTTCCACATCGCTTCTTTGGCGACCATATGCTGTGTGGTCTTTCATACAAATTCGGAAGTGAGTCTTAGTCACCTCCTAAGGAAGGAAAATAAAATGAACGCAAAATGATGAAGCACATTCGTTGAAAACTACAGAAGAGTTTTAAAATGTCAACAATTATTAGTTACAGTCGAAAGTTCGAGAGAGAGGAAAATAATTTTGACAACTGAAAAAAAAAGAAACAAAAGGAAGTTTGATGAAAGGAAAGAGGGGGAAGGAAAAGAAAGCAAAAAACGATGGAAACAACCAAACGAACAGACCAAACAATTAAAAATGAAACAAAAAAGGCAAGTGCACCATTATGAAGAAGCAAATTCCTCGTTAACATCAATTCGGTGTAGCTAACCATCTATTTACAAGCTGTATTGTAGAAATTGTTAACCATAACTCTTGCATTCTGTCGGAATTTCATTTACATCTGTGATAATCAGTAGATAAATAAGTGATTCAAACCCTACCTCCATCCAGGTAAGTAGAGGTTCTTTGTCCTTATTGTCACATCCGTCATTCGACTTGTTACCTTTGGCAGCATTGTAGACAGTTGCAAGCACAACAGGTGGTTTAAAGAATGGCTCGTCATATTTGATCGTCTGTTGAATTTAGATCAAAGAATGAAATAATTATAACCTATCAAATGAGATTCTCGCAAGCGTTATTAAACTTGTAGATGTGACATTTTGCTTTAGAGTCAATTGAAACAAAGCTGGTTTTATTTCAGTTGGAGTTTCAGGCCCGATAGTAAAAAACTAATAACCTCGGCTTTGTTTAATTGTCATTCAAAACAATATTTCGAGAAAAAAAAAACAAAACTTGGAACCGGTTCAGTTTAAATCCTCACGAATGACACTGACTTTTTTCTTCTTTACGCTGACATACATGTAGAACCTTTATCTGAACCTGATCTCCGCGAAGAACCTTCTCTTTACTTCTTATCATATTTTTAAATATGAATAAACCCAGCCGTAAGCTCACAATAAATCATAAACATAATAAATACAAACCTTGCATAGGGCATATTTGTTTTGGGCTGAGGGCAACTCCTTTGCGGAAAATAGGATGCTCTCTGATTCTTTACCTTTCCAAGTTGAAGGATATTTCTCGTATGCCATCCAGTTCTTAACATGACAAAAATGAAATGAGTAAAAAAAAAAGTAAAGTGAGAGTCTGAACCTTTTAACATTTACACTAATTTGTCAAGATGAAATAATATTTCCAAGCTTTGTAGGTGACTACACAAGAGAATACAAAGGATGGAGGACGTACTTTGAACTGAGCATTTTTTATCTGAGGACGAGACAGTTTAAGTCGGCAAACGGAGAAAAAAAAAGGAAAGGCATAACAAGCCAAAACAAATCTGTTCAAAGGAGGGAAAAACCTGACACTTCATAGATAAGAATTATAAACACATCGTCACTTAAGTGCCGCTCTCGCTAAGAGCGGTCCTCTCGACTTCCCGTCGGAGAAAGCTTTTCTTTTATTTTTAATAACTGTTTTATTTTTTCCAAATCAGGGCTGAAAAACCCAAAGCCACTCCAATATTTGCTTACCATGAATTAAGTAAACATTTTAAAAGCTAGAATTCTCGTTAAAATGAAAAATTCTTCAGTCCATTGTAATCACTTTCGATTCTAATTCGTTACATTAACTAATTTTGGTTCCAACGCGAAACAGGTCGTATGACAAAACGAAAAGTTTGCACAATCACGTCACGCAATCCATCAAGCCGGGTTTGTCCAATTGATTTTGATGGTCGCAGGGAAATGTCGAGTCTGTCGTTCAAAACCGTTGTGGTCCATAAGAGCGTGACATCATTAATGACGGAAACAAATTTTTAGAAAGGAGGGCGAGTTCATCGGGTTGCGTGTGCTAAATCTCGGGAGAAACTGCAGGAATTGTGTTAGAGTGTATGCGTGCTGTTTTGTAAATATAAACTCTGTAACCTATTTTAACTTGTTTTTGTGTCCTTTTAAGCAGCGCCATATGTCTGTTATGACCAGAGTGCCAAAGTTTGTTCTTTAATTTTGATCTTCTCCACACTGTGCGTAGTTCATGACCTGATATTTCAACGTAAATTATCGGGAAGGCGCCTTTTGATCACTTTCGTTTACTTTGAAAGTCACGCAAACGCGCAAGCGTTACGACCGATAACGTTTACGCAACGTTTTAGGACAACTCGGCATCTATTCTCCATTCAGCTGCTATGAAAACCTAAAATCCTCAACGTAGAAGATAAACGAACGAAGTTTGAACGGTCAAAAGGAGATCTTGGTCAATTTTCAGAATCATGCAAATAATCTTTGACACGAATGCAATTGAGCAAACACATCGTTTTGCGTTGTTTGTAAGAAGTTGGTGGATGGAAGCTACAGATATACCCGCAGGTTTGAGGCAATCCGTGACCTCATTGATGTATAAACTATGCACTGATATGTTTTTTTCAGCCCGATTATCGCCTGTGTTATGAGAATTCTTTCGTACAAAGTAGTGAATTTTTAAAATGCAAATTAAGGTCGCAGAGAAGGGTCTCCTCTGATCCCGCTGGTAAGAAAAATATTTCAGATGAAGTTTCCATATTTTGTCTGTGAACTAACTGAATACATCTTGTAACTTGTAGCGAGATAGAATTCTGTGAGCTACATTGTTGCAGTCGCTGCGCGCTGGACAAAATCTTTGAAATTTACACTTTTGATCGTTGTCCACAGGAGTGGTCTTGCCAAAAATCATTTTTGGCTTGTACGACGCAAAAAAAGAGAAGTGGAGAACAACTAAGGTATTTTTGAAACATGTGTCCTAAACCCTTTTCATGGGCAAAAAATTAAAAAAAAGTTTTCTCCGACGGGAAATCGAGAGGACCGCTCTTAGCGAGAGCGGCACAAATTTATAAAATGCAGTTCATTTCGAGAAATAAAATATCAAAAATAAAGTGAACTAAGAAAAAAGAGTAAATAACAGCGACATCACCAAGACACCGGAGCAAACAAACAAAATGAAGACACAAGGACTGGAGCATCTAACGAATTTGTGGCTAACCTCAAATATGAATATAAAATCAAAGTGTGACAATTATTAAAAATAGAAAAAATTAAAAAAGGCTATATTACGAAACAAAGCCCAAAAAGTATTAAAGGCAAAACGACCACATAGAAAGAATAACGGCTCACCACTTTGAGTCCCTCATGAAGTCCATCGAATACCCTTGACTCTTGCAAACAAACTTCAAATTCGCTCGGCGAAACCTTTTCAATCCAAACCAGCATTGCGTCGTATTTCCGGCCTTTCTTGGTGTGGTGCGGAGTGACGTGAACTGTAGGAGTTGTTTTGAAGACCTGAATTCAACAAAAAAAATTAAATGTCACTCGTCGCAAAATAGCATTATCTAAGAAAAAATGGTTTCTGGAGAATCTTCCAGGCCAAAAGATCGATGCAAAACTAAATTGACTAGAGTAAGGTAAATCAAGGGTCACTCTATTGAATCATTTATACATGAGGCACTTCGATTAGGAAAACTGCGCATAATCAAAAAACTAAAAAAAAAAATTAACAACAACAAAAGATGGCAAAGCAGACGGCTTTTTACACAAAGCCCATTTAGATTCCCAACAAACAATTTCAATTAGATGCAGGCATCGAGATTTGAATAAAGGGGTCATATGAAACCCAGCACTTTTAACAACTTGGTCACGCAGTCTTTGAAAACTCAAACAATCTTACATTCTTAAATGCCACCCGGTTGCACTGTGATCCTGTAGTGAATTTGCTGAACAACGTTGCACCATGTTCAGCTCCTGTCTGTGGACCTTGAAATGCAAACCAGTCGATGGTGAAGTTATCTCCTGCTCCTCGGCCCCCTTCAACAACACAGGCTTTGAAACGAACATTGCTCACTTCTTCTACCCATACAAATATAGAATCGTAGACACTGGACGATCCATTTCCACGGTTCACTGATGCGAATACGCTCACTGGTGTTCCCTTCTTAAAACTTTTGCTAAATGAAGCTTGCTGGCAAAGATAATCGTCATTTGCTTGAGTGAAGTGAATTTTTCCTCTCTCGATGACTAAAATAAATTATAGAATTCAGCTTAGTTAACCCCATGATGCCGTGTATGATAAATGTAAGGGTATTTGGAATGCATCTTCAAGGCATACAGTCGCAATGAATAATCTGAACGTAAGAACTCAAATTATACAAGCAAATTGCCAAAGGAGCATGAGAGACAAAGGGATATGAAGGAGCCGTGACAAGTAGAATTAGCCGTTTAACTTGCGATTTATCGGCTTATGCGGTGGCGCGAGTTTTAGGAACCAATCAACCAAAGCGATGAAGTAAGACAATAAAGTTCCTGTTTCCTTTCAACGTCATTAACTAACAATAAAAATCATAATTTTTGGGGTTCCAATGCGGGCATAACAAGGTAGAGGTCACTTTTGCAGATCAAAATCCAACTTTTTGGAGCTGTTTTTTCATTACTTCACTATTTCGGAAATGTTACTTCATTTTGGAGAGATAACAAAACGTGCGCTCGGAGAGGAATGAGTGCCTCGCTCACAGAAATGAAGAGGAAAGCTAACGAAGAAGGAGGCGATGGTTTGCAAGATATATTCGAAATTCCTTAATATTTTATAATCTGTTTTTGCAATGAACTATTCGTCTGCTTCAACCTAATTTCACAAAGTTATTCATTCCAGGAGAGATGGTTTATTATTTTTGCGACTATCGGTTATATATTTATTGTTCAAGATACTGGGAGTTGTGCAACCATTTAGAGAAAGATGAGTATTGATCCAAAATGTCATAAATATCAAATGAGTAAGTTTTTGTATCTGCATTACTTGTATTTGAAGCTACTGAGTGCCGTGTAAATTTGATAAAACTGAAATGTTGGGACTGTCGATTAGCCGGCAAACACCGTAAAAAAATTGATCTAATCTTCAGAAATAAATGTTAATTTTAAAAGGAACGATTCAGCTTTATCTGCTTCGACACTAGCTTCGCAACTTCCGATCCTTAATACTACTGAAGTTTTACAAGGGGTAAAACTGGGCGGTGAAAGATGAAAATAAAATCAACAACATTAAAAAAACTTACCATTTCCTTCGACACTGATGAGTATAAAGAAAGTTACCAGCACCAACAATAGTTGCCTCGCAGAAGGCACCATGGCTGCAATGTATAACGTCGCGTGAACGCCACTCCTTTGGAATGGAGACTTCTTCAAAAACAAATGAATTTACGATTTGGTAAAGTGATAGCATATCTCCAATAGCAAGTGCGCGCGCAAAATGGGAAGTCTTAGGATTATCTGTTTCAGCGCAATGTGGGTAGATTGCGCTTTAACGAGGTCACCAGAACAATTGAAAATAGGAATATCTACTTATTTTGATATCCAATATAAACATGAGAGGGATTCCAGCTGAGAAAAAAATTCATACGAAACACGCAAAAAGCTGTCAAGTCTTTCCAGAGGTCTTGAAAATCATCCAACTCCGATCAAGTATTCATTCATTTCATTAAAGGTACAAGGAGACATCCCGTTTCATTTTTTTACAAAAAGAAAAGGGGGAACAACTCATATCTATTGGCGTCAAACGGGATTTCTCTCTTATTCGGAGTAAAGATGTTTTCCATTAAGGGTGGTTTTGAGATGTAGTACTAAAACCGGATCATTTTGAGTGACTCAAATTCGTGCAATTCTCCGAAAGAAAATAATCCCATTCTGCACAAAAATTCAACATCGTCGCACTGCAGTCTACTAATAAAAGGCCATTTCCTTCCACAAAAACGACTTTACTACGATACTTTCCATATTTGTAAAAAGTCTCTGCGTCATACCTTACTCCCATTTTCATATCACAGTGTATTACGCAAGTGTCTTCAAGTGCGCCTAAAAAAAAGGTTTCTGAGTTTGACCCTGACGAGGAATTTTGAATGGTGCGCTATGTCTGTACAAACCAAACAAGAAATGATCGAAATGGCTGTTCCTCTCTGATGTATGCAATTGTCGCTGTTGTAGGAAAGAAGGTAAAATCCCCAAACAGCACAGTGTAAAAACTGAGAGACAAATATTGTATTTATCTCTATGTATGTGCGTTTTTTTCTGGTTCGTGATATCTCGGAAGAATAGGTAGGATTCAAACATTTGACCTTCCGATCGATACTTCGAATCTTCTACTACTGAGCTGTTATAAAATCATAACTATTAGACCATTCTAGTCGGCTAGATATTTGCCGTCGACTTGGTGCTTTTGTGAGATGGCCCGACGTGGAATGGAAGATGGCATCTTTAGTGGTTGTTATGTAACAAAGGATGATAAGTGATTGATAACAGGCCGATATATCAGCCCTTAATTGAGGTCACATTCTTGATTACAACCTCATTATTGTCGGTAATTCAGACAACAAAGAAATGTAGCGCTATAAAATAAACGTTCCCCATTTTAAATTCCGTATATGGAACCCTTCAAATCTATCAAAAGGACGCTGTTATTAACTTTGTAGTGTCTTATTCCGGCTCGAGGTTGACGTGTTTGCCGTGGTACTGCATTCAAAAATATTAATAATTCTGCAAGTTGATAGAAAGAAGGTTCAGGCTTGTACTTAAAGCCAAGCAAGTTTAGGAACAAAGATATTCCTCATGATATACATTTCATTCGTGACTTTAGGAACCCCGTTTAATTTTTGAAATTAAAATTAATACTTCGACAGCACGGCAATAAACGAGAAAATAAATGCAAAGATGCTTGCAATACTTTGACTAGCTCGGTCTCTTACACAGGATTAGACGAAGGAAAAGTCCCACTATTTTCAATGCACGGGCCAAGAGCAAATCTCATGTTTGTTTAAGTATACAAATTCTCAAAGGAATCGAAAGAATATGGGTGGAGTTGATCCAGAGTTTCATTATCGTCAATCGTTTAACGGATTTGAATCAACTGATGAAAAGCCAAAATTGAAGACTTTTTGCTGATACTACTAGAATGTAAACATTTATCAGACGTGATATCAAAGTCATCTTGGATTGCTTTCAAAGATCCATTCATAATTGTTTGATATGAATGACTTACGCTCAGACGAGGTCAAGAGTCAAGAAAACGGAAAAAAGAGTAAAATTAATTAGTTTTGACAAATGCTTTTTTTTTCTTTTACTTTAGGGAATATCATAAGTGACACTTGCTCCAGTGGGTGGCGTAATCGCAAATTGAATGGGGCACGTGAGTTCGATATCCTGAAATCATGTTATACCTTTAAACAAAATTTGTATATAAAGAAGAAATAATGTATCGGGGGAGGGGATAGAAGTTCAAAGACGGAGGGAAAGGGGGAGTGGGCCCCTATACGAAATAATAGAGGGGGAAGGGAGCTTGGGCACTGAGATGATTATCAGTGCGTTCAACCAAACCGATTTATTTTGTTCACAAAAAATGTTATTCCAGAATATCCTTTTATAAAATTGTCATTTCCAATGATTGTTTTGCATGCCGCGTGGTTTGCACAATATAATCTCACTGTGGTTAAACCATGTCCGCAGAGTTGCATGAGGCTATTATTTATAACTTCAGGCCCCTTTGTTCCTCTGGTCCGACAAATTTATTCACTATATATACGTTTCTCTTTTAATATATTGTAGAATTTTATTCAATGACAGGATACTAAAGTATGAATCTCCACGTTTTTCTATGGATGTGACCGTTTCTCAATAATTCACATTTAAACCCAAAATAAGAATAGTACCATAGGAAGTTTGTAATGAAAAATAATTGATTTCGACATTCGAAATGATAGCGTTCTACTAACACTTGTTTTGTTTTGAATCTTTAAAGTCCCATAGAACAGCGATTGCAAGTATAATTAACGATGGTATATGCTCTAACCATCTACTACTCGGATTTTAAATCGTAGGTTTAACCAAAGCTTTTGCCTTCAAGAATTAAGCACAGAATTCTGTGTACAAATCGAAAGGAACTGAGATATCATTGTTTTAGTGTGTGTGTTTTATGGGAGATGTCTTCTAATTATGGCAAACAGCACTTGCATCCTCATGATGACCGCAGTTGTGATACCAACGATACCTACGGCGATACCACCCCCAGTAGTAGTAATAGTAGTAGTAGCTCCTATTCTCATATGGACAGTCCAGCAATGATTCCTCTTTACCTTCGCAGGAAATATGGTATCGATGAATAGGGCCCGAGCCTTGCCCGTAAGCCGCACCACGAGGTGCGGAGGTTGCACCCTTAAAGCCCAACTCACGGCAAACGACATTGGCATCATTCAAATTCCAGGTGTGGTCACACACGGTGCCCCATTTGCCTCCCTCGTAAATTTCAACACGGCCATAGTGGTGGGATCCTCCCGCTAACCGAACAACAGATGAACCATGGGTGCACTTCACACCAGCGTCCCGTTTATGAGTGCAGTCGTGCTTCCCCCATCCTCGATGTCTGCATTCATGGAGATAGGACTCACTTCCTGAACAAGACAAGTCGTCGAGCCATATTGGTCCGCTTCCTTCGCCATGTTGAGCGCCCTTATAAACTTGTATGGCTCTTTTGTAGCCAAGCTGTTTACATATTACGTTAGCATCATTCAAGTCCCAGGCATCGTCGCAGATGGTCCCCCATTTGCCATCGTAAAAACTTCCACTCTGCCAGTTGACCGGCTGGTGCTGTTTATGCGCACGCTTCCATCGGTAATAGCTGACAATAAAGCAAGTGATATTTTGTTCTCGGGTAACAAAGTGAAGAAAATTCAAGCATGAGTGCGTCAAAATTAAAATAAAATAATCCTTCGTAACTGTGCGTTTTATCGGTTTCTGTGTCTAACTGTTCTGGCATGGAAAACGCGAATTATTGACAACAACGTTAATAAATTTCCGCTAAAGAAATCATCACATTTACTGACTCAGTCAGCTTTAAAAACTCTCTACGGTGGCCGATTTAAACAATTAACTCGGTTTGTGAAACCAAATTATCTTGTTATACCCCACCAACGCAGCACCACAGTTTTCGTAAAAAAACCTATTACCTTTACATAATATACTTTACGTGTGTTTCTTACTCAAAACCACCCTACCTCGATAACGTGCGCGAAATCCCCCAAATTCCTTAGAGCCATCAGAAGTAAATTTCACGAGAAGTTCGTTGGATGTGCTTGTCAAAGATTGCTTGGGGAGAGTATTTCCAAACAGAGTACCAATTACGGGAGCAGATCGTGACAGGCCATCATACACGGTAACGATGTCGACTTTATCCTCGGTATCCAAACGTATAAATACAAGTTCAATTTGTCCATTGGTGGTTATGTTCCACGTGCAATCCATTTTGCTTTTATAGGTTACTGAAACTCCAGGCTCATTTGACTCAATATATCCCATTGAATCGGACTGGACAACAGTCACATTTGCACAGGAGGGTATTACCGTGGCGTTCGGTGCTGTGAAATTTAAAACAATAAGCTTCTCTCCCATAACTCCAGTCTAAACTGCATCAAAATTCACTTTTCTTTTTAATCTTGTTTGTCGTGAATATGCAAAAAAATAATTTTAAAAAATACCGTATACGAATTACAGTGAAAGAAAAACTGTGTAGCTGATACAACGTGTTAAACAATTTATCACTACTGAACATTGAAAATGGCCCAACATGAAGTGTAAAATGTCACTTAAAGGAAGAAGGGAAATAAACCTTGGTGCGCTCTATACTTACCGCCACAAGTCTTTCCGGTTCCAGCCAACCCTGGAAAACATCTACATTTGTAGGTGCCAGGAATATTCTCGCAGACCGCTTGGGCATCGCACGTGAACGTTCCCAATCGACACTCATTCATATCTGTTTCCAGATGAGAAAGATAATAGCAAATTAGCTACAATGACTGTATAGTCCAATAGCGAGAACTTGCTCTTGCCAGTATAAATGGTGCCTGGTATTTACTCAGTTTTGTGTGTTTCAACAGAAAATAAGGAATGGGGCATTTAATTTAACACCATCATTTGTCAGATCTCAGCGGTATCGAATTCTGTTTATGGGTTGAAACATACGATTAACGAGTGTTCACCAAAGAGAAGCGTTCTGAGTTTGTTTACGAGGCTCTCAAGTGGTTAATTGTTGATTGAATTGCGAAAAAAGGAAGAAAGAAACGAATGAAACTCAGTGATATCTAAATGAATAACGTTAGAATACCCTTTTAACGAGAATTAAACCAACCTTCGCAGTTCTTGTTTGCATCCAAACGGAATCCTTTATTGCACTTACAGGTGTAAGAGCCTTCATTGTTGATGCAATGGGAATCATGCGGGCAGTGATAATTGAAGTCTCTACATTCATCATAATCTGCAGGGGAAGAAAAATTTTGATGGCATTTTCGAAAGACAATTAAAAATGTATAGCAGCCCAAACTAAAGCTAGCCAACTTAAGAGAAGATGCGTTAACCAACATCGTGCATGGAGATGATAGCTTCATGTGTAAATTATGCTTATATTACTAAGCGATGAGCTAACTTTAACCAACAGAAAGAACACTTTACTCCTACACTGCACTTCTTAACGAGAAGCGAATTTTATAAAAAAAAAAAACAATGATTGTCTTCCAAAAACTTACTCGAGCGTACTAGAGATGATAACTTAGTTTAATCACTGACATAAATCTCCATGAAATGAGCAGTATACTCCGGTAGCTCTCTCGGCATAGCTTTCAGACAGTCTGTCACCAGCGATAACAATAACAACCACTAAATTGCACGACTGAAGCCTTATAGACATTCACAAAGTATTGTAGAACATTCTGGAAGTTTAGAAACCAACTATTCTGGTAGAATTTCATCAAAATTACGTAATTTGATGAAGATTCTAGAAAGTTCCATGCTGTGTCATCAGAAGTTCAATTATGCGTGTCAACATGACTAAGCATTCTACTAATTTCCAGAAACTGTTCTTTAAATTCACTATCCATAACACTAAGCTGACAGTGACATGTGTACCTTCAGAAAATTTTAGGTGTGCTCATACTTCCAGAGGGTTTAAAAGGCCCAATATCCCATTAGCAATAGAAATGATTGTTATCTTCACCAACCTTTCTTGCAGGTAAATCTGTGACAATCAGTACAGTTCACGTCATTCCACTCGTAATGATGGTTTTTGAGGAAGCCTAGAGTATGAACACAATCTTCATTGCCATAGTTGTTTGGTTGGCCCTTCGCCCAGTCCTTAAATTTAAATGTGCTCCCATCGCTCCACACGAACTTCCCTTCTGAGTTGATATCAGTGAGCCCTAGCCAAGAGTGCTCTCCGCCATGCAGACTCTGGACATAAACGTTTTCTTCCTGGCTGTGTATGCTTGGAAGGTTAGCTCCCTGCGTGGCGCATTTTCCCTGGCTGCTGCCCCACGAATCACATGCAGCCACTTGTCTATAGCAATACCCTCTGAAATAATTCCAGCCGTCGTCGCAAATGCTTTCTATAAATTAAATGATAACACACTTTCGTTTATTGTATCCAGATTTTCAGTATCTATTATACTTGTTCCTTTATCTAAGCAATCATTTCGAACGTAAATTTGCATAAAATAATTTGTGTGGTAAACAATAAGTAATCTGTGAAACGGGAATGAAATTTTAAGTTGTAGTCCATAGATAGGGCATAAACTTATATAAATGTATCCCTTCTTATTTTAGAATAATTTATTTTTGTTTCTGTTGTTCTATCATCGATGCATGCCATCTCTTCACCTCTCCGTCTATCCTGGCTTATTTTTTTGAACATGCAGGAAACACAACTTTATATTTAAGGTCATCAGAGGCACAAAGACACTGAGCCAACATTGGACTATAAAAACATATTTTACATACCTCCCATCACTGCGTATGACACATTTAGTGGGTCAAAGCGTTTTACATACAGTTCTTTGACACAGATTCGAAATCCAGAAGTAGTGATAGACTAGGAAGGGAAACAGTTATTAAAGATACACTAAATATAAATTCTCATACTCAAACCCCAAATAGGAGTAACGGAAATAAACAGAGAACAACCAAACAAAAAATGAAAAAGAACATAGATGCAACAAAGAAAAAAAACAAAGAAGCTTTATAAGGGTATTGGATACTTCACAACACCAAGTTAGCATCCGTGAAACATAAAATTTCATCGGTACGTAAGTTTCCTGTAATAGTCCATAGCTTTCGAGGACCGTTAGGTTTTAAACATCATCCTTATGCGCCTAAACCAATAAGCACGAAAAAAATTGTTTATTTACGAATATCTCAGCTGTCTATTAATTAAATGAAAGATGACTAATGATTAAGACAAAATTTATAAATAAAGTAACAAATATGAGATATAAACTATTACAAGAGTGTAGAAGCAGCGTCAACGAGGAGAAAACAAAAGCAAAGAAGGATTCCATTTTCACTTGCTTACCTCGATCCAGCTCACGATTCCATTACACTCTGCTGCAGCATTGCCTCCACTGGTAGAATGTCTGGCAGTTACCAATATTGTTGGTGGGTAGGTGTAAGCCGACTGAAGGTAACTCACATCCTTTTGATAGAAGTAATAATTGATTAATCGATTAGCCTCTTTTACTGCCTTAAGGATAGGCAATCCCAAGTGCAGATTGTCTCAGCTAGGCATATTCTTGGTTAAGAAAGTTCCCCAGCGAGGTTTGAGATAAATACACGATTAAAATTAATTGAAAATTGATTCTGTATCAATAAAAGGCTTCCAGAACGAAATATAACTTTATTTGAATTAGGGTATACATCACTCACCTTACAGAAAGCGTAGTTGTAATTTATTGATGGCAAACCAACATTCGGAAACATGACTTCGCTGCTCTCTTTAACCATCGGTCTAGGTGTTTTGCCAATTGCAAGCCAGTTCTGATCCAAAAGATAAAGAGACGAAGAATCAGTTATCGTTTTTACTTGGTATCTATCAAATTTTCTCTCTGATATCAAATTCACATTCATTAGGCATTCATTTTATTCATTTTTACTGATACTATGTAAAGTCGTGTATTTTATGAGTCAATGTTGTAAATTTAAGATTCTTAGAGATGAAAATAGAGCTGGTAATGAGCGTACCGGATTTCTGTGGAGGGTGAGAAATTTCATGAAACGACAGCGAATAAACGACACATCCAAAAATAAAGATGGCATCGAACTAGGCCAAGATTGGCACGAATCGAGTGCTCTCGGTTTTCCATGTGTTTTAGCCAACTTTAAATTTGAATTTGACAATTCCTACCACTGATATATCATCATGAACTCCAGCGAAGTTTTGAAGCTCCCTGAGACAAATCTGAAAAGAACTCGTGGAGACATCCTCAAGCCACACGGTGCTAGCATCGTGCCTGAGGCTTGATCTGTAATGGACAGCTGTGGTGAAGATTTGTGGTGGCTCAGAATACTTCCCCTAAGGAAAAAAAAGAAAATCCTACGGCTTAGGTCAGGTTGATAGAAAGGAGAAGAAACGAACCAAAAAAGTTATTGATTTAGCTCCAGTCTTAGCGGTTTTTAGCGTAAAGATATCTAAAGGTTTTGGGGACGGGGCAATATAAAAACAAGAAAAAGAAACATATTAGCTATCTGGTAATAAACACCGCGATGACCCTTAAACTGATTAAAGAAGAGGAAAGGAAGGAAAAAGAAGTGTTGTGAAATGGAAAGGGTAAACCCATGAACTATTAGCTTGATCTCAAATGTGAATACAGCAGAGAACGTACTTTTGGAAAAGAAACGGTCCGGCAAGTGGTCCCAGTCCACCAAGTTAAGAACATCTCCTCGCCTGCTACTCCTCCAGGTGGGGCTCCCTGATAGGCCATCCAGTCAATTAAAGCAAAGCTGTCTGCAGGGTAGTCATTCCTTCCAGCTCGCGTAACGCAAGCTGTGAACTGAGTAGTGTTGATGCTCTCGACCCAAGGTGTGGTGGCCTCGTGTACCAAAGTATCATCAGAATAGTTGAAGTGATTGACAGTCAGTTGTACGTAAATTTTCATATGAGGATAGAAAATGAAGGGTTTTAAATCAATAACTTCACACTGATCCTCTGCCCACGAGGGTGTGTTCTGGAACTCATGTCTGCCTTTCTGCATCGGAAAACCTACAATCATGATAAAAACCATCTTTGATTAAGTCCAGGTAAAAGTGGCGTCTTTGTTTGAAAGTTAATTTGTGGGAAGGGGAAAACTCGAGGGTCTCAAACAGGTAACCAACCGAAGTATCCAATATGTTCTCCATGATTGCTTGGAAAGATATTTTTTTGCCAATTAGTGGTTAGAACAAGGTTACTACATAACTTTAGCAATTTAAGCAGAGATAAGGGCAAGATGATGGCTAAAAAGGAAGTCAGTTGAACTCTGCAAACCACTCATTGCGTATTTTGCTTACCTCTGCAGCTTCCTGGATGGTAGTTGGTGTAGTTTCCACGTGTTTTACAAATCTCTTTTTTGAGGAAACACATGTTTTTGAACGTGCGACCGTTGGAAGCACAGACTTGTTCCTCGTATGATGGGCAGTTATCCTTGCAGATACAATCAAATCTCCAGGGGGTATAAGCAAAGCAAAAGCTTTCGTAGGTACAGTTAACATTTCTGCACGGATCAAGGTCTGAAAACGAAAGAAATATTATAAAAGATTGCTAAATTACATTTGATAATAAGGAGTGGACGTCAAAGAAAACATGAAATAATTTTCATACTTACCCCCAATAACCAAATAGTCTATGGACACATCACTCCTTTGACTATCGTATCCTGCCCAGTCTTTCATACAAATTTGAAAGTGTTTCGCGGTCACTTCCTACAACATGATAGTACAAGAGTTCCAGAAACCAAAAGACAACGAAAGGAAAACAGCAAAAACAAATGCAACAAAAAGGGAGGAAAGCACACAAAAGGAAAAGGAAATAAAGAAAAGATTTGGCAAAAAAGAAAATGAGCAAGGGAAGAATGGGAAGAAAAGAAACTCACACAAAATCGAGAGAAGAAAATTACCTTAAACACACCAGGAAATCAGAAAAATAAGGAGAATGATGTGATTAAGAAGTAGGCGACATGAGCCAAGAAACAGAAGTCACTAACTCCAATCGAACATTTGCATTACGCATCTTTTCAACCATTATGGTAGGCGAATTTATGAGTGATGTGCAAAGGATATTACATTTCAAGTTAAAGTCACCTCCATCCAGGTGATTAAAGGTTCCTTATACTTTGGGCTACAGCCATCGTGCGACTTATTTCCTTTGGCAGCATTGAAAACAGTCGTGAGAACCACAGGCGGCGTAAAAAATGGCTCGTCAAATTTGATAGTCTGTCAATAAATAAAAGAATAGATAGAATTAGAGTAACTGATTTAAGTTTGAATCCTGTGAAAAAAGGCAGAGTGTTGTGTTAAGCTAATTTAGATCAAGTGAACAGAAAAAAGATTATGGCCTCCGTCATTCCTGGCTCTCGCAATAAGGCAGGAGTTTCTTAGACAAGAACCTACTGCGCCTATGTGACTACAATATTAACTAATAATTTTGAAGAAAGTAGACTTACCCTACAGAGAGCATACTTTTTTTGTGCTGCAGGTAACTCCTTTGATGAAAATATGATGCTTTTCGACTCTTTACACCTCCAGGAAGAAGGATAATTCTCGAAAGCCATCCAGTCCTTGAACAAGAAAAAAGGAACAATTTTCATTAAGTTTTGGCGAGCTAAACACTAAATTTTGGGCACATCCATATTAAATTGATTTTGAGTACGAGCACCAAAACATCAACACAATTAAATGAGCAACAGACTGAAAAGATGATGATCGTAATATTAATGCTTGAGAAAATATATGCAATTATACTGATTATAACGATGATAACAATAAATAATTTGAAATAGAGAAAACAACGGAGGAGGAACTGCATATGGATGAACAAGGAGACACAAACCAATTTATACCTATTTGTATGCACAAATTTTGTACATCTCCGGAAAAAAATGAAAAAACAACACAGAAAAAGATAACGGTTGTACAAGCAATCACTTACCACCCTGAGTTTTTCATGAGATCCATCAAATACCCTGGATTCACGAAGGCAGACCTCAAATTCACTTGGGGAAATATTCTCGATCCAAACTAGCATGGCGTCATGCTTCTGGTCCTTGATCCTGTGCTCAACAGTGACGTGAACTTTTGGAATTGTTTTAAAGCCCTGAATTATAGAGAATTAAGTGTTGGAGAAACGTTACATATTATTTGTTTCTTACTTCATATGTCTAAGTCAACTCTCTACACCAATCACCCCTAATGTCTTCGAAAAATTAGGTAAAATATCTTACCTTTGGAAAAGTTACCCGGTTGCATTGCGATCCTGTAGTAAATTTACTAAACATTGTTTCACCTTGCTGAACTCCTGTCTGTGGACCTTGAAATGCAAACCAGTCGATAGTGAAATTATCTCCATTTCCTCGACCTCCTTCAACAACACAGGCCTTGAAACGATCGAATCTTATATCCTCCACCCATACAAAAATGGAATCGTATACACTGGACGATCCATTTCCACGGTTGACTGAAGCAAATACCCGTACGGGTATACCCTTGGTGAAACTTTTGGTAAATGTGGCATATTGGCAAAGGTAATCGTCGTCGGCTTGACTAAAGTGAATCTTTCCTCTCTGCACTCCTAAGTAGAAATTATGGTCTTAGGTTATCTAAAACAGTCCTACATATCTGCGAATTAAGAATGTCTTTAGAATTCTTTTTTCGGTTGAACAAGAACCGAATTAATCACATATGTCAAATAGCCAAAATGAACAAGAAAATTACAAGAAGGATGAGAAATGCCATACACTTCATCACGCTTAGGGGGCCGAGCTTGCTAATTATTGTTCAGAGGGTGGCTTGTTTTTTTTTACCAAAAATAGCAAATATTCTAGATGTGTAAAAAAGGTCTACTGAGAATATTTCAGGATATTTTCTTGGAGTTTTTAGTATCCGCTACGCTGTCATTAGATTATGATTTCATCACTGTAAAAGGGGTTAGAGGCACTTGCACCTATTCACTGTAAATATTCAACAAAATTGAATTTTTTATACGTTTTTGTTATTGTCTTCCTTGGCAAGTCTCAGAAATTTTGAACGATCGTTCATCTATTTTTCCTTCAATATTGTTTCCCAGACCCCTCAACCATTTCTTTCTATGCCAACCTAATTACACAAGTTTCTTCGTTGTAGGCTAAATAATCAAAATATTGCGATTGCATTTTTCAAGCTCATCTAGATGCGAAACTTTATTTGGTGGTGTGCGGTATTCCCTTTAACAAGATTTTATGTATCACGTTGCGCTTGGGTGTGTCATTATAAAAGAATTCACGAAGCTCTGAATTTCGATTAATGCTTTACTAAATAACGCTAATGAAAGGTATATAATAGCCTGACTTGAAAAAAGTGAGAGGTAAAACTTGAAAGATTCAGAGAAACCAACCTTTTCCTTGGACGCCACCAAAGATGAAGAAACAAACCAACAACAATGCTCCCTGCCTTGCAGACAGCATCATCTCTTCACTGTGTCATCGACGTGTACGCCCCTGCTGGAGTGGAGACGTCTCCAAGAGGCAAATGAATTTACGGTAGATGTAACACGACTGCGTAATCATCATTTACGTAAAGTATCTGAATCGCATGTTTCAGTACATTATTGCATAAGATTCCTTTGACGAGGTCACTTGAACAATAGCAATTGCGACATGGTAAAATCTACTTATTCCCAATGCCATTTGCAAATAGAGCAAGAATTTTTGCCAAACAGTTAATTTCTCGAGAACACGCAAAAGCTGTGCAGCATTTGTATTGCCCGTCGGGAATTTTTGCAGCTATTACAGCATTTCTTTTACTTTGCTAGGGGCGAAGGAAAAAATATTCTATGTCCATTTTTTTAAAACATTGCCTTATCTTGAGGAGAAGAAACACCACTTATCAAAACGTGGATTCTCCTTTCACGGGAATCACATATTTCTGATTGTGATATTCTTAGCTCCTCTTAATTCAGGCAATTTTCCAAAATCAGAAATTCAGACATGCAAAAACAACTTAATGTTCTTCTATTATGAATAAAACCTTGAAAATAAACTACAAGAAACGAAATAATATACGTGATAGAGTTTGTTAAATAATTTTAGCTCATTACCTACACAAAAGAAGGCGAAACTTTTAAAGTCAAGAATGGCTTTGTGAGAATTTTCTTTGATCGTTGTGTTCAGCTAAAAAGAGGTCAAACTTGTTGACCCCACCTCCAGTGTTCAAAACGTGTTATGCAACGGTGGTTAGCCCCTCTGAAACAATCGTTTATTTTATCGCATTCTTGACAACATTCCTTCCATTCACGTTTCTCTCTCCCCCAAAAATGTATATCTTCTAATCTCAAATGTTAATTATACCCATTTCAATTGCATTGAGAAATGACAAAAGAAAATTGGCTTTTTGTGGAGATATGATTATAAAACAAAAAAGGATCTTTCACTTCCGTTATTAAGGAATACTCAGACTACGTAATTCCAGTGTAATGAGTGTTTGAAACAAGTTTCAAGTTACGACCTTGCGATTAGTACTTCGAATCCTCTGCAAAGAGGTACATCGTAAAAGGAACTCGGTCAAAATGAGTTAATGACTTCAGTATCCATATGAGACAAAAATCGGTAAATGCGCGGTAAAACACGTATGAAGTAATCCTGTATAAAACAAGTGATATCGATAATGTCCCTGACGTGATGATTGGTAATGAATCGATCCATATAAAGCCAGTGTAATATTTCTTAAGTAAGGTCAAATTCTTGATTCAAATCTTTCATTTCATTAAGCTCTTTGATAACGAATAAAACATTGATCTAGCTAAGTGAATTCCATCTTAAGCAGCATTAAACGTAAGGTTTAAAAAGATTTCGTCTTAAGCACTTTCAGCGGTGTGCAGCCTTTTGCACAGGAAGGAAATTAGGGCTAAAGTGAAAGCAAGATTTCGGAAAATATCAGTTTTGATTTTAAAAGTATGGAAATGAATGAAGGAATCACAGGAATATCATCTGGCAACACTCTGGGTTCCATTTACGATTTCATCTTCCAACTGAACTAAAAATTTTTGGTTCATTTTGCGTGCTGTAAAAAACCTGTTAAACCAGTCGGCTGCGCGGGCTAAGCTTCCCTATCCACTTTGCTTTTCCCACCTTATGAGAATGAGCAGAAACACTTGGCAGAAAAAAGCAGTAAAAATACGGCTCGACTCGTAAGAATACTCAACGATACTACACACCAAAACGTCTAATAAGGTATATACGTCGAAAGGTTTTCGCTACGCTCACTAAGTAAAGATACACTAGGTAAGACATCGAAGCTGACATTGCACGAAATTCAAATTCCATTGAGAAAAAGCCAGCCAGGGATTACTTGAGCTTAAACGAGGTCAGAAATCAAGACGACAGATTTAACTTAATCTGATCAGTAGGAAAAAATTGAAATCGATAAATAAAAGCAGTAGTAAGGTACACTTTGATTTAGTTTGGAAGAATCTCCTTTAGAAATCTACTTTTGTTAAAAGAAAGCGATCTATTACTAAATTTTGTAATCTAGAGATAACTGCTCCACCGAATTCTAGCTGCGAAGGTCATTTCAGTGGCGTTACACAATCAAAACGGAATAACAAACTGTATGTTGATATCTAACTCCTGTCTCCAAGGGGATAGAAATTCAGCCCCATGCCTGAGTGGGTGGGGATGGGGCTAAGGGAGAGGTGGGTGGGGTGCTCGAAGATCAAAATATCTTCCCTAAGTCCAATTTTTAAGCATTGAATAGGAAACGTGTGTGTGTGTGAGTGTTTGGGGAAGAGCTCTCGTTAGTAAAACAGAACATTTAACCTGTTTCCATATTATTGGCTCTTTTTATTCGAGGGGGGTGGTAGCGGGAAAACACCATTATGCTATGTGTCTCTTCTAATTCATTGGCTGATTATTATAACTCTGGAGCGTTACATGCATAATAACTTTGAGTCCGAAACAACACTTACAGCAACCTTTCTTAAATTAATCGAGATATACAGGTTGGTTATGAATAAATTCACACAGACCTACACGAACAATCAACAGATTGATATATGAAAGGGTGCGCACTACAAAATCTGCAATATAGTATCAAATCCTTTGACAGAATGATGATAAGTAAGCAATGGAAGCAATTATTTTACCTCTGACACCTAAAAAAAAATGTCAGGCATAGTAAATGTCATAGTAACGCGTACAGAAACAATTTGATTATTATCAAAGTTATACAAATTAGGTATGATTGAATACACGAACTAAAAAAATTGAAACGACCAGCAACTCTGCTCTAACCTAGACGACAAGGCGAAGCCTACAGTTAACATTACTTTATTCCTGCCCAACGACTTATTTCAAAGACTCTTCCTTAGATGCGAAACCAAATGAAATACTTACATTTATGTAAATTAGCTTTTCTGGTTTCAAAAACATATGTAAAAACTATAAAATTTCAGTCACAACTGAAGTCAAGAAAACATGCACACTATTCTGAAAGAGGTCTGGCAACAACTCCCTCTTGGTTGTCAAATTCGTCTGGCTGCACATATCAACTCGTCGTTGCCCGCACTAGACCTGTTTGGGGACTTACTACCAATTACTTTCATTTTAAGATCAACTACACAGTATTAGCTACACAATAAATATATGTTTCTAACATTTACATATTTCTCATAAATATTTCTATATTTTCATATATTCTTAGTGCATTATAGCGTGGCAGGGGATCTGTTTCTTTCCGCAGTCACATCGCTGTTCTTATTTGAATTAATGTAGTACCTTTTTTGTGTTAAGAGCCTGTCCACGAGAGCACCAGACAGTCGTGCTACATGCCATCTCACCGATTTCAATAAAACAATTATTGCTCTAGGCGGTCGCTTGACCAAATAAACCTACATTTTTTAGCTCTTTATACAAGATGACTAATGAAGAAAGGTAAAAAATATGAAAAACTTTCGATATTTTTTGTAAGAATGAAAAATTTCACGTTTAGAGAGATGCATGTAGGCGAAAAATCGATGGGAAAATCGTAGCGTTTCTTTCTTCTGTCGTTTATTAATTTGGAGATTTGCTAAAATCAACAAATATGGCTTTGGTACGACAAAAAACATTTATCAGTCTATAATTTGATTGTTTATCGTCATCATTGCTCATTTTAGGAGATTTTAAAGTCACACGCTGCGTGTTAGTTGACATTATTACATGTTCCACTGCACTACAACTTCGGCTTTTACAGACGAGAAATTCAGCGCTCTCGCTTGAGAGCAAATATCAATAGTTCTATCAAACTAAAACTGTGCTTCTATCCCGAAAATAAAATTAAAACAGAGTTGTCGTTGTCACTTACCGCCATGAAACATTTCCATCCAGAACTCCGCTAAGCTAACATCTGTTGCGTGACCCAAAGACTCCGTGGGAATTATTTAAGCGCGTTGTTCACGCTGTCTGCTAGATAACAATTTCAGAAAAATCTGCAGGTCTCTATGATTATTTGCTTGCTTCGATCGTAAAATATCTTCATTTTTTCTCAAGCATTCTATTACTACATATAAATCTACATCTCTCTAGATCAAATGTTACCGGCGTTTAATTACATGACTTATGAAATTCATTTATTATTGTGAGCCAGCAGTAGCAGTACCTGTACCCTCTCCTGCAGTCTTCGTCTAAATTTTGCAAGGTGCCTCCTTATCTTCTGCCTTGTTCAGTCACTTTCGACCTCTGAAGCTAGATCATTGACATCGGCCTCTTTGTCCTCATTCATATTGACCTCGTCAATAAACAAATTTTTGTTACGGCAGATAACCGGCTGAAGTATCGAGCGATTTGCTGCTCTATCAACCAGTCAGTCTTAGACAACATTTCTGGCCGATGCGTCTCTTAAACTCGATGTTTGGGAAGTCACATTAGAGGCGGTTGCCTTATTTGTTGCCTCCCCTGTCCAGCACACGTCTAAGAGATAATTCTTTGCTTTCTGAGAAAAGGTGGCTGCTTTATGTGTTTTCCAAAGGGCCCATCCAAAGTCCACTTGGCTAGTTAGGGATTGTTCGTCAGAATTTTACCTGAGGTCCGACCCTGAACGTAGCCACCTCCAATAGATTGGTAAGCCGGTCTTCGTCCATTTCCTCTTGATCTTATCATAGGCGGATTTTTTTGTCAGCTTCACTGTGTTTGCCTTTGTTAGGGTTTTTTTGGATGGCAGCCAATGACTGAAAAGTCTTGATACATCTATCCTCTTAGCAAGAATATCTCGCTTTCTAGTTCTGTCCGTGACGGATTAAGTATAGTTCTCGCGATGACCTGCAAGTTGCTGATAACCACCCGCTTGAAACATTTGACAAGAATTTCATGGGGTTCACCTCACAAATTTTCGTTGACCAGGGTCAAGACGCGCCCCGCTAAGCGACATCGCCTTCCAATAAAATAATTTTCCGAAGATGCACCTAAATTAGTACTTACGGTATCAAACCATTGAT